GAGCAAGATGGTGCTTGTTGGGCGAAAGGCTCTCGGTACAAGAATAGCATGACGGTTGGAATACAACCCTAATCTAATTCACAGAGACTTCCTCTATCGGGCGCGGTAAAAGTCTCAGAATTTAATATAAAACTTTAATGGAAACTCGAAATTCTTATTAATATGAGAGCACTAAATTAATAAGTAATCGATATTCCGAATTTATTAAAAAATATTTTTAAATCTTAATTTGATATTATTTATATTTTATAACTAAACAATGCCGACGGGGCGCTAAATCTTAGAGCCCGCCGGGCCAGTCCGTCACTGCCTAGAATAAATCAATTTTAAATTTTCTTGTAGTCATCGAATTCAACAAAAATTCCATATTTAATATTAAAACTTCTATCTGGGTCCTTATTCTTGAAACAGGGGAGCAGCGTTCCCAGGAGAACGAGTGTTCCGTCTTTCTCAATGATATGCAACTGATAATATAAGTTACAAAGACGGAACACTCGTTCACACCCTATACAAATAAGTGGATTATTGCGGAACTTATGGGTGGACCTCTGCGGTGCGGGACGAGCGCAGCGAGTTCCGCAGCCATCTACTCACCAATATATATACTGTTGAACTGTTCAAATAAGACACTCACCTGAAACGTGTAGTTTTTGAACTGATGGGAAAAATTCTCCACTGAGTGAATCAGATTAGTATTATTGTACTTGAACAACATATTGGTGAATAGATGGCTGGATTCACCTATAAGTTCCGCAACAATACACTCGTTTGTACTTGAATAACTTGTCACAATATATTACCCAAGCAGCACTCCCATGTTGGGCCAATATTGGGACAATAACTACGATTTATTGGCCCAAGTCAGATTCTCTATGTTGGCCCAATAAAAGATGTGGACATTCTGCAATATTTGTCCAAGAACGTATGTCAATATATACCCAAAAACAAATGCCAACGTTGGTACAATAACGTAACCAAATGTTGGCCCAAAAAGAAATAATCAATATCATATCAAGAACTTTATGCAATATAGAGCCAATTGAAATTACCAATATTGGCCCGAAGACGTATGTAAATCTTGGCTTTATATTATATTTAATTAAGGTAACGGACCAATTATAAGGACCGACTAAGAAGTGTTTTCTCTCTGCCGGACCATCCGTGGACCCGTTTCGCTGTATCACAACTCATCAGCACGGTTAAGTCCCGCCAGGGTCCCGCGGAGAGAAAACAACACAGGTAAAGTTAAGACAGAGTCTCCATCTATTTTTTGGACGGCACACCAAGTGCGCACATTGAATACCCTATATTGGACCAACATTTTCAATTCAGAAAATCTAACATTGGTAAAAATTAGTATGTAAATATTGGCCCTTCATTGGGCTTTTCAAAAAGTATCAATATTGTGAAAAAATTGAAAATAAATATTGGGTGTGCAAAGTTTTTGAAGTGAATTCAAATATCAATAAAAAATTGAATGCCAATATTGAATTAATATTATATTACAATATTGTTTCGATAATATAAAATGTAATATTTGGCCAATATTTCATAAATCAATATTGTAGTGAGAAGTCTTGGGCCAATATTCAAATTACTGAAAAGTTAATTAATCTATGAAAACAATATTGGTACAAGATTATTTTTAAATATTGTTTCCACATATTAGTTAAAACTAACGTTACCCCAATATTGGTACTGTGTTGATTTAGCAACAAAAATGAATAAATATTGGCCCAACTGAAAAACGATGTTTACCCCATATTATGTGCTACTTGGGTACTAGTTTGATAAAGTAACATTACTAATTCCTGTTGAAAGGTAAATTGACAAATAGTGGATAATCTTACAAATTCTGACTTTATATAATAAATTATTGTTCAAGTACAAATAAGTGGATTGTTGCGGAACTTATGGTGAACGTCTGCGGGACGAGCGCAGCGAGTTCCGTAGTCATCTAATCACCAATATACTATTGAACTGTTCAAGTAAGACATTCACCTGAAATGTGTTATTTTTATCTAATGAGAATAACGCACATTTGAGTGAGTCAATTTAGTATTGTAATTAAACAACATATTGATAAATAGATGGCTGCGGGACGAGCGCAGCGAGATCCATCCATAGGTTCCGCAACAATCGACTCATTTGTACTGAATAACTTATCACAATATATTACTAGTTTGGTAAAGTAACGTTACTAATTTCTGTTAAAAGGCAAATTGACCAAAAGTGGATAATCAATAGTAATATAACTAGTGCAATGGAAATTACTGATTAATTTTTGGGAAATTTGCCCGAATGCATTAGTTGAATAAGAGCACGAGTGCACGTAGTGCACGAGTGCCTTTTTCAGTTAAAAACGCATGAGTGCAAATTTGTCGAAAATTATAAATATATTTCCATTGCACGAGTTGTATTTAATGAGAGAATTTCATAAATCAAAAATTTTAATTTTTTGTCAAAAAATGTCAAAACACCAGTTTCCGCACCAGTTAGTATGCAATTATCTGATAATTTGCACTAGTGCAAATTATCGCGTAATTACAATCTGATTGGTTCAAATTAACAATCAAAACATCATGTCAATTCATTGTTGGAATACCAGTTTTGACAGATGTATGAAATTCTCTTACAAATTTTGACTTTATATAATAAGTTATTGTTCAAGTACAGGGTGTTTTTTTATATATTGACACCCCACCTACAGCCTTCACTTTTACAAGTAAATGAAAGGTGTGAATACAAAAGTTGTACAGTATTGGCTAAATTTTTAGAATCCATGGTCAGAAACAAAAATTGAACGTCAGAAATGTGAAATGTTGTATGTTTTCAGTTTTTTTCAAATAGAATGCCCTATATTTGGTTTTATATTCTTGAAAACCACAATTTCCCGGTTCCAAAACTATATAGTTTGTCTATATTTGGTTGCGCCGTTTCCAACATATTTGGTTCTAAAAATTTTAAAAATACTATCAGAGAAACCAAGTACCTCAAATTTTACTTGCAGCTTTCACCTGTATAGGTAAAATGGTTCGCAAAATCAGTAGTAGGATAGTATTTTTACAATTTTTGGAACCGAATATAATATGAGAAACTGTTCAATCAAATATAGACAAATTATATATTTTTGGAATCGGGGCATTGTGCTCTTCAAGAATATAGAATAAAATATAGGACATCCCATTTGAAAAATTTATTTATTTATTTATCTAAAGGTACATCCCACAAACACACAGAGGTAATTACATCCATGCGAGAGAAAAAGCTGGCAGCATGCAAAATTTCACATTTCTAACATTCAAATTTTATTTCTGACCGTGGTTTCTAAAAATTCAGCCAACACTGTAGAACTTTTACATTTACACTTTTCTTTTACCTGTAAAGGTAAAGGCTGTAGGTGGGATGTCAATATATAAAAAAACACCCTGTACCTACCTATTTAAAATCACCTTATTCTCCTAAATAGTTTCCCCATTCCCATATTTTTATGGGCCATTCCTTCGAAAAACCGTATCTTGCACAATGCGCTGCCAAAACTAACCCAAAATAACCCATTTTAGCTTATTTTAACTTAAACTGCCCTCCCCCCTCTTTCAAAAGGCCTGTATCCGCCCCTGGAACCAATACAAATGCATTAAAAATAGAAATCCCAGAAAACTGACTTTTAAAGTTGGTTCAAATTATGTAGGTTTACTTTAGAGTTGGGCTCAACTAACAGAATCGATTGGTAAGTGCCTGGAATCGATAAAAAGTGCATTTTCAAATGAAAAAATGTCTCAGAATCGATTTTAGAAACATTACTCCCAACAAAACTTACATTTAAAGTTGAAACTTCCATTAGATTCAAGTTTCAAAAAGTTTGAACTGAGGAATATTCGTTGTAGAAATTATGTTAAGTATCGAGAACACTTTTCAAGTGCATTAAAATATGAATCCCACAAAGTTGACCCAAATTATGGAGGTTTACTTTAGAGATGAGCTCAATAACTAACAGAATCGATTTACAAGTGCATGGAATCCATGAAAAGTGCATTTAAAGTTGGAACTTTCAATGTGGATATTTTCTTTAGCCATGAGCTTGACTATCGAGAATGTTTTCCGAGAGCCTGGAATCGATACATAGTGCCAGAGGCAGATTTTTTCTTTGTAATTTTCAATTTCCGAATTATAATCAAAAGAAGTAGAATTTTTAGTTTCATATTTAACCAAATTTTTGAAAAATTCTCAATTTTCTCAATAATAATTAGAGAAAGTGAGCAAGAAAAGAAAAAAAAAACGACAAAATATGTATGAATGAGCACTTAAAAAAACGTTGTTTTTGCGTCTAATAATGCGAGGAAAAAAAACGCAATAATAATAATTATTATTAATTATTATTGATTGAAAAAAATTGATGCATCATTTATTTCACGGTTCCTGTTAAACAAAAAAAAATAATACATTGTACCTAATTCGTAAGAATAATAATTAATCGATTGAAGAAAATGAACAAAACTTCACTTACAAATAAACCACCGCAAATTGTCAATAGAAAAATCAACAGTCGCAAATTCACTTTGTTCATTTTTTCAAATTAGAACTAATGCATTTTACTATACACATGCGATAGTTTGAAGATTTCTCGGTCACGGTCAAAACTAACTGAAGTAGCTTTGGGTCTAACCGATCAAAAAGAGAAAGATTCTGGTTCGCAAAGATACTAAAGTACCGTACGATTTCTTCTATAATGGAAAATGTAGGTCTTTGATAGAGAGAACATAATAATCTAAGGAGAGAACCATGACGGAGAGTTTTCCTCTTTTATTAAATTATTAATGATTTGACTGTTTTTGGGCTCACTTATTAGGTTAAACGATTAAAAATAATGTATGTTTCATTATCATTATCATCAATAGCTTAATTTATTATTAAAAATCGATTTTTAATGCACCTACGTGCTAGAAATCATTTCAAGTCTTGCAGCTTAAAACTCATTAACAAAATGAAACATTTCAAAATACGAAAAGACAATTTTATTTGTTTCGACAACCGAAAAAAATTGACATGAAATTTTCCAATGAAACTGAGTCTCTATTTCAAAGTTCTCCTTCTAGATTTGCCTCGTTTGGAACGTTTCTTGGCAACCCTCCTCCTTTTGGTTTTCATAACCAGGGCACTTCTAGAACGTCTCCTGGTACTTTTGGCGTGAACCTTAGACCTGGAACGCGATTCTCTGGTTTTATTACGAGCCAACGAAACGGACCCGGTACGTTTTCTGGCTCGAGTTTCCATCACGACATCTTCATTATCATCATCATTAATTATTGGGGGTTGATTGGAATTTTGCATTGATTTGATGGTGTCTTGGAATTCCTTATGCATTTTTGCGTTTTCCTGTATCACTTGGTCGTATTTGCTGCTCAAATGTTCGATTTTCTTGTCCATTTCGTTGATCGATTGGTCTGCCGAACGTCGCACTTCGTTTAGTATGCGGACTATTTTGTAAGGAAGATTCGCCATTCTGAGGCTTGAAATTTCGAGCTCATAAAGTTGACAGAGAAAGGAAAAATAATGACTAGAAAAAACAAACAAACTTGTTGTTTGATGTCATGGAGAAATTAACAACTGGGACGATTTTTATTATTGCTGGTGCGGTACTGTCAATTCCAAATTCAGGTAAAAATTCACAATTTTTTCTTATCACTGGCTCTTGAGTTTTCGTTTTCTAAATACAATATTCTGTGTCTAATTGTCTACCAATTTTTACTCAGTTTTTTCAGCTCAATTTTTGTCTATTCCCGGCTCTTGAAATTGTCGAAATAAAGAAGCTTGGAATAGAAAAAACATTAATTTCCACTTAAGTATCTACCAATTTTTTCTTATATTTCTTCCCTCAATTTCTCAACTTTTGTCTATTCTCATCTCTTGAGTTCCCGTTTTCTTGTATGGACCCCGCACACTTCTTATGGGATTTTGGTTGAACGCGGAATTTAACCAAATTTTGGGATGTTGTATATTTCGACCTCCTGAGTAAAAGTTCTCATGGGTACAAACCGATCCTATGACTAGTTTCGGATATACGGGGGTTTTTCTAATACTACGTCAGGCAACCTGAAAATATTGAATTTTAATGCTTTTTCCGTTTATTTGTGGTAGGTAGCTTTAAAAAATGTTGATTAAGTTTAGACCTTTTACAGAAAGGTGCATGTTTTTAGTTAGGTGCCTATATATGTGAATGTACGAGGGTATTTTGAAAAGTACTTGTTTGGCGGGCCTTTGTGTGTTTTTAAAACAAACACAAATAGAAGTATGACAAACTATATACTGTATTTTTTTCCAAGATAGATTTTGACTTGACACTGTCAACTTTGAAACATAAACAATGCCGCTTATTGGTCGCAAGATGCCATTTGCACCTCATGCATTGTAAAACTGATTACAACCTGCAGGGACACCTCATTTTCTGACCAATCAGGGCCAAGCGTTATTGTTTATGTTTCAAAGTTTTCAATGTCAAAATCCACCTTGAGTTCTCAACAATAAGATTTTCATCCTTAAATCCTAACTCGTTTCGACGCTTTACAGCCAATCTACGGACTTTGGCATCTTTCAGTAATAAAACAGTGCGATTTACTCTTACTCTAAAATGCTTCATTGCACACGTAGCACATTACCTTTCCTGAATTCCCATTTTGACAAGACAGGTGACAAAAAATACAATTCGCTTTATTGACAGGGTCACTGTTTTGGTTTCCATGGTTAGCAAGTGAAATATGACATATGAAAAAACAATTTTCATTGCTTTTCTTTCCATGGCTGTTTAGATTTTTCAAACAAATCACCTAGTGTATGTATACCTAATAACTAAACACTTAAACCCTAGGCCAAGGGATCATGAGGCAAAAAGTTTTTAGCACAAGCGTAGCGAGAACTGGAATTCATTGAGATAGAAAGTCACTTTTATCACAAAACGTAGGTACCTGAGTACCTACAAGTACACAATTTTTCACACTTTTGAACATTTTGGGTCATTAACTCATTTAGCTTAGTAATAGCCATAATTTTTGAGCGCCCCTGGTATATAAAGAAAGAGTTACGAACACCTACTAAACATTTTTAGTTAAGGAAAGATGAAATAAACAACTTTTAAAGCAATACATGTAAGTTTTTTTGCTTAAGTACACTTTATATAGGTACTTTAGGTTGCCTAAGGTAGTATTAGAAAACCCCCTGTATATCCGAAACTAGTCATAGGATCGGTTTGTACTCATGAGAACTTTTACTCAGCAGGTCGAAATACACAACATACCAAAATTTGGTTAAATTCCGCGTTCAACCAAAATCCCATAAGAAGTGTGCGGGGTCCTTTCTCTAAATAGAGAAAATTCAAGAGATTGGACTAGAAATAAAATATTTTGTGTCTCTTGTCTACCTATATTTTTTCTCAATTTCTTTGAAATATTCTCTCTATTTCTCAATTTTTCCAGCTCAATTTTTGTCTATTCACGGCGCTTGGAATTGTCAAAATAAAGAAAATTCAAAAGCCTGAAATAGAAAAAACATTACCACTTATCTACCAATTTCTTCCCTTTATAATCATGTATAGAGAGAGCTTCACAAATCACGTTTGGTATAGGCCTTCTAGATACCTTACCTACCTACTTTTGCTCATAGAAATATTGTCAACTACTTAAGTAAATACCACTCTGTACATCAAATTTACTCAAGTGTGTCGACGAGTCAGCATTTATTTGGTATAAATACAGCGCCAGAATTCATTACCGGCAGACAGGAAAAGCCCTATAGCTAAGTCTCCTCCCAGTTCAAACCACTGGCGCCGACTACATGGGGGCATCGGGGCATCGGGGCATCGGGGCATCGGGGCATCGGGGCATCGGGGCATCGGGGCATCGGGGCATCGGGGCATCGGGGCATCGGGGCATCGGGGCATCGGGGCAGGTGCACCCATGAGCAACCTCTCATGTGTGCGGAGCACCCATGGGAGCTCTCGGCTGCTCTCGTGGGAAATACGGAAGTACAAACGTATTTAATGCTCAATCCGTTCTATGTGGTAATATCCAGTATCATGTAATTTAAATGTACACAACTTTGTATAAGAATTATAGAAGTGGTGTGTGTGTGTGTGGTATTCTGTCCGTCTGTCCTTTCGTTATTTGTGGTCAGTTCTATGCTCTATTATTTTATGTTGCTTTCTCCATCTATATTCTTTGTGATAATAATCGGGAGCTCCGGCCCACAACGGGAAGTCTGGCGCTTGCGCCGTATAGTGGCCGTATATGCCATATAATTTAGTTTTGCGCGTGGGTAGGGATGGTAATCATATATCGATGTTTTGTGTGTGAGAAAGCTTTGGGGACTTGTTATCCTTTGGTACTGATCCTTGTTGGAAACATGTTCCAACAATCATGCTATCTCTTTTTGATGGCAAAATATTTTTATACATATAAAGTTTGCAACACTGCAGCGTTGTCGTCATGTCTATTTTGTCATGTCTGTCAATATATTGCGCGCCATTTTTGTCATTGCAGCAGTGACAGCAGTGTAGCTTGGAGCTTGTCCACGTTAACAAGCATCCAGAAACCTTTTCACATTTTAATAAATTTTATAATCTAGCTCTGCCCTGTTGGGCATCTAAGCAAGCTCTGGCTTCTTGTCATCTTGTAGTAGTAATTGTAAATAGTGTAAATATTGTGTAAATTGTTGTAAATATAGTGTCAGTGAAAAGCGCGTGTGTTTTAGTTCCCTATCCAGTCGATCATCCAGTCCACCTAATTATACAGTCCACTAATTATCAAGTTATTTATCTTCCATTATGTGGTTTTGCACATAATTTTGGCCAGTTCGAGCCGGATACTGGATAGTTCGGAACCTAAAAGTGCTTTAAAAACCCTCAAAAAGTGCCTTTTTAGTGGTTATTGATTGTTCCATCGTCATCCTCTGTGCAGTCAATCAATCATCCACTGTGCAGTCTGCACGTGTCTCAAACAACGTTGGGTTCCACGTGCCACCAGCGAAGGTTTCCGCCGGAACCGGAAGTGCGTTAGTAGAGTGGGGCGGAGCAAACAAACTTCACTTGTCAAATTCAAAAGGGTGCTTCTTTTTCTCGTCTGGTTCAACCCAAGTCACCCCGGGTGCAGTATCCTTGCTTGGTGCAATGAAGTACAGCCCCGGAGCAACGAACATGAAAGTGAGAGTTCACCACCCCGACAGCTTAACCTCAAATTAAATGTCAAACATTTGTTTACGTTTTGTTGTTTGTTGTTTGTGTATTTTGGATTTTTGCAGTGAATTTGAGTGAATTTGCATTATTTTTGAAAAACTGAATTTTTCGCATTAATTATTGCTATTTTTTCATTATTTATTTAAAGGATGAACAATTATCCGTTTTTCGTTTTGTTAAGTAGTTTTTAAAAAAAAAAAAAAAAAATCTAATTTATTAGGTAATTTTAAATTTTGTTTATAGATTTCTTTTGATATTTTCTTATTTTTTTGATTGTAAACTTTGTAAATATGGCTACCAAAAAGCAAATTGATAAATTATTGTCAAAGAAAAAGCAAGCAATCGACTCCATGGTTAGAATAAGTCGTTATATTTCCGATCACAAATCTGATCCTGACAGTGAGTATAAAACCGACCAATTTTTAGTTCGGAAGGAAATATTGCAGGACAGTTTTCAAAAGCTTAAAGACATTCAAGTTGAAATTCTGTGCCTTGATGGTAACTATGATGATTCAATTGATGATGTAGAAACTCTTTTTTATGATGTCATTGTAAGTATTAAAAATTGTTTACCTAAATCTAATTTACCAGGACCAGCTAATACTAGTAATTTAGCAACTAATATTGCTCAATCGGTTTCAATTCCACCTACTCAAAGTAATAATTTTATTTCTGCTGCTAAATTGCCCCCAATCGAGATACCTACCTTTGATGGAAAAAATTTAACCAATTTCAAATCTTTTATCGATATATTTAATGCTGTCATCGATAAAAATCAACAGTTAAAAGATGTTGAAAAGCTCTTTTATTTGAGAAATTATTTGAAGGGTGAGGCTTTAAGCTTAATTGATAATCTGCCACTAATAAATTCTTCATATCAAGGTGCCATAGATATTTTAAATAACAGATTTAATAATGAAACTATGATCATAAATTCACATATTTTTTCTATTTTGGATATTCCTGCCATACAAAAAGGTACAGCTCATGCACTTAGAGATTTTGTAAGTCGCATCAAGCAGCAAATTGGAGCTCTCAAAAACCTAGCCCAGCCTGTTGACAACTGGGACATGGTGATGATTTGTATTTTAAGTAGAAAAGTTGACCAATTTACCAACAGAGCCTATCAAATAGATCGTGATAGTTCCAAATTGCCGACTTTGGATGAATTCTTGGCCTATTTAGAAAATAGAGCTACAGCCTTAGAGGCAACTAGTAGTACCCCAGAGCATAAAACTAAAGAAAAGGTTTACGGTTTATTAACAAAACAAACCAATGTAAAATGTCCCTTTTGTTCAATATCTGG